TGACTAATTAATTTGTACTATTTATGCAAAGTACTTTGGCACCATCGACCGCTGGCGTAGTAATATTAAATCGCGTAAGCAAAAATATACATACAATTTTTAAAAAACGCATTGCAAATTTAGTACATAATTGGGCCATAATTTAAAATAGACGGAACTATGATTTTTGGACGTTACTGCGAAGTAAGTTTTTGGAACATTTTCTTAGCGTAGGTAGCTGCCTAATTGTGGTCATATCATAGTAAATCTGAATTTGTCGTTATTCCTTTGGGGGCGCATTGCGCATGCGCCCCCAAAAAGCAGACAAGAGTTTTATGATGTTTAGATCGCATGTTACATGCTTTTCACCTGAAGAAAGAAGTGCCGAATATAAAATTATTTGTAATAAAAACAACAACAACAAAAAATGTTCAGGTAATTGGCCAATTAGTAACTTTTTGGAAACTATAACAAGACACCAAAAATTAAAAAGCTTTTGATAAATCAAAAAGAAAAGATTTTCTGAGGCATAATGGGCCTTTAAGTCATTATTAAATGAAAGAATGACACATAATCGTGCCGCTTTTGCGACCCCGTAGAAATGGTATTGCAAGGCCGTGACGTCATTTGCGTTATTCGAAGAAATTAATAAATGAACAAAATATCATTGCAACATATGAACTTTTCATATATCTGTGACAATTATAAACTTTTTTTCTGTTAAATATTGATAGAGCTATATTAATTAGGCCTAATGAAGGCCCATGATTGGAAATTGAAATGATTTTATTCTATTCAAGCAGCGAAAATACGCCCTTATCACTTGCGTTACACTAAACTATAAACAATGTGAATGCTAAAAGAAAGATGGTAGACAAGTCACTATTTGCTGTCTGACGTAGTTGACGTGATGACGTCAGCGTACTTGACGTCAATTGACGTTATCGTCACGGTGATCATTCAAACGTCAGAACCACAGCATAACAGTACAGAGAACTTTGTCAAATATTTGAAATAAAATGGAATTCGCAGAATTCATCTAAACACAAAAGGTAAGTTAAGCTGATTAATTGGTATAATGGATTTTTCTGCTTTTAATTTGAATTTAATTTGGACCAAAAAGTTTTGATATCAAAAATACTGTTATTGACCTGTTACTGCAGTTATTTGACCAGAACTGGGACCGGGACCCTCGGAACACCGTTCCGCGACTTATCCGGCCGATTTCACATCCTCTTACATAATTAATGAACGCATCTGAAACATGAAATTGTTAGTAATAAGGAATGGCAATACGTTATCAAGTAGATTATGCTTTCATGTAATAACAAAGAAAATTTTATCAAACAAAGTAACTAAGCTGGTATTTTATTATTCAGATTATGTTTTTACTTCTACAGGAATGGCTCTGTTAAGATTAAACCAGAAAGATCGTGAAATGGCTTCAAGCCTTGCTCGCCAACAAAAGTTTGCCGCCGGCCAGTCACAACTTAATCATCATATCAACTGTGTACTACTACAAGCGTCGTTAAGAAGACCATCTGTTTCATTTGCACCAGTACAACAATCTGGTGCTGGAGACCCTGGAAGCAATAAAATAAAGTCATCAACGATTCTAGGCGCGTCAACAGCCTCATCAAAAATGGTGTGTTCTAAATTCACGCTTGCGAACAAGATTTCAAAAGGGTCAGCAATAATGAAATCAACAGGTTCAACGTGGATGTGTAAATCGCCAAAATATGATGAAAAGGGCTTTCCAAATCACGTGAACGATGCCATTGATACAAGTATTATGAGGTTGGTACCAGATTATGATTTTGAAATTCCTACAGAACCAGAATTTGAAATTCTTATCAAAAGTGCCCATCCAAAACCCGAACCAGATAACACTTTGCCTGGTGATGATGTAAAAGCATGCTTTGAAAATGAAACCAATGAAGAAAACGTTAATACTGTTACAGATATCGACGAAGTATATGACATTGGTTGGTTTTTTGAGATCTGCAACCAACAAAAGCAGAAAGATGCTGACGAAGTTTATGACATTGGTTTGTTCTTTGACGTCTGCAATCAAATAAAAAAGAAAGTTGTTGACGAGGTATATGACATTGGCTTGTTCTTTGAGGCCTGCAACCAAACAGAGAAGACAGATGTCGACGAAGTTTACGACATTGGTTTGTTCTTTGACGTCTGCAATCAAATAAAAAAGAAAGTTGTTGACGAGGTATATGACATTGGTTTGTTCTTTGAGGCCTGCAACCAAACAGAGAAGACAGATGTCGACGAAGTTTATGACATTGGTTTGTTCTTTGAGGTCTGCAACCAAATAAAGAAGGAAAATGTTGATGAAGTTTATGATATTGGTTTGTTCTTTGAAGTCTGCAAGGAAAAAAAGAAGGAAGATATCGATGAAGTTTATGATATTGGTTTGTTCTTTGAAGTCTGCAACCAAATAAGGAAGGAAGGCACAGACGAAGTTTATGATATTGGTTTGTTCTTTGACGTCTGCAACCAAATAAAGAAGGAAGATATCGACGAAGTTTATGATATTGGTTTGTTCTTGGAGGTCTGCAACCAAATAAAGAATGAAGATATCGATGAAGATTATGATATTGATTTGTTCTTTGAAGTCTGCAACCAAATAAAGAAGGAAGATATCGACGAAGTTTATGATATTGGTTTGTTCTTGGAGGTCTGCAACCAAATAAAGAATGAAGATATCGATGAAGATTATGATATTGGTTTGTTCTTTGAAGTCTGCAACCAAATAAAGAAGGAAGATATCGACGAAGTTAATGATATTGGTTTGTTCTTTGAAGTCTGCAACCAAATAAAGAAGGGAGATATTGACGAAGTTTATGATATTGGTTTGTTCTTTGAAGTCTGTGAGCAGTTGAAGAAGGAAGATATCGACGACGTGTTTAACATTGGCTCCTTTTTTGAAGCCTGTGACATAATTAAAACGAAAGAGTTTGAAAATGAAATGGTCTCAATTTTGGACCCGAATAATCACAAGAACGACGAAGAAGAGATACACATTGCACCCTTACATCGACTCGATGAAAACATGGACTTTGATGGGGATATGTTCGGAATTCTAGGAGTGTTTTGTAGGAGTGGATTACATTTTCTGTAAGTTTTTATATCGGAGATATTATTTCATTTTTCCTAACAGAAACAGATATAGCTATCTCTTTTTTAATCAGAATGTGCTGGCATAGGTAAACGGACTAAGCATGTTATGGATAAAATAACGCATTACATCATTATTTTTAAGAAAACACAAACATACTTTCATAGATTCACAAGCTTACTTAGATTATTTTATATTACGTAACTCATGTTACATAACATACATGTTACAAGACAAACGATCGTTATTTTTACAGAATAATATTATAAAATGGCCCGTATTTCCATGATGTGTTTCCGCATATGAACACGCTAAAGGATGAAAAATTAAAAGTAAACTGTAATAGATATAGCAGTCGATAGATGAATTAATGAATCGGAATTGGTCACATAATTATGTTAACTTTATTGCATAAATGACTCTATTTTTTTACAAATTAATGTGTTTCATTTACTTTCAGGGGCAGCGGAGTCCAAGAAAGCAGCGCATAAATCGAGCATACATTTATATTCATATAACATTTTTGTTGTTGAAATTATTATTAACCATGACATTCATATAAAAAGGAATACGAATATTTTTGTTAAACAAAAAAAGTGTTCGGTTATTTATTGCCCGTCGTTTTCGAAACGTTAACCGATTCAAGAACTTAAACTGGCATATATTTTCTTTGTATTCATATGTTACAGTACGGAGTTTCCATGTTTTGAAAGATTTACCTTTGACAACAGTCAATAAGCATAACAACTTTATATTAAAACAAGATCAAGCTTCTTTGCTCGCATAAGTTCGGATTTAACAGGTTTCACATTTTATGAGTTGATTGTAAAGCTTTATCTTCTACGACAAAAAACGATATGTGGCCAATGGTCAAGATTATCTGCCGTCAAATCTGGAAATATGGGTTTAATTCTTACTGTGGTAAAGAACGTGTTTCCTATGATATCATCTCAAACCCAGATATCACGAGTTTGAGTCCCATCTGGCTCACGACCATGTTCCCTAGTATTGTCACTTTCAGAATGCGGACAGAAGAGTGGTTCAGTTAAGACTCGAGTTTTCATAATAATAATATTCGAGCAAAAAAAATAAAGAAACAAAATACGTTTAAACAGACTAAACAAAAGAAGCGTGTTTCTCGAAAAATTTATTTAATTAATCATGATTTTAACAAACAAGACCAGCATTTTCATGCTTAGAAATAAATACATTGTAAACATGATAATTTATTACTGTATTACGTGTACATGTATATAAACTGGAAATACTGTATAAAATTGCAAAATTCTGCAAAAAATGTTGTTTTTTTTACTGTAGGATGAGCATAGTACAATTTTGATAAGCTATTTTATATTACCTGATCTTTAACAGGTAGCAATGGCCATTAGGACATGTCCCTTCTACAAATTCGATATGACATTTTTTTTCTTCAAATTTTTGAAAGATTCTGAACAAGATAAGAGACAACCGTGCATGGTGATGAAGACCAAGTTTAAACAGTGTTGCAACTACATTTTATTCCAAAAATAAACAACATATATAAATAACACAAAAAAAAAATACAAAATTATTCAATACAAAAAAATATATATCTATACAAATACACAATTATTCTAAACCTCTCTATTTGTTTAACATTCAAAAATTTAAGAAACATTGCCCAAAGTTTTGATTTATAGCACATATGTGTACTTATTCCTTATCTAGGTTATCATAATAGAGAACTATCTCCATAATTTGGAATTATCTCCATAATTTGGAATCATCTCCATAAATTATCTTCATAATTTTGATTTCTATTAACAAAATTAAGAAGCAACAAGAATGAAATACATATATGTGCAAAATTTTGAGAAAGAAAAGTTTAATCAAATATTTTTAGTTAAGTAGTGTATAAGCACATACAATAAATACTCATGTGTCAAAATATAGGGACATGTATCAAAAACTAGGCCAGGTCATTTATATTAAATATTTTTCTTGTCCTTTAAAAAGATCACCTTGACTACGTCTTGAAAATTTTTACAACTGTTTTTTTGGTAACATGGATTTTCATTAGATGATTATATACTATATGTTTGTAACATGGTTTTTAATTGGACAATTGTGATGTACACATTACTGCAGCAAAATTTAAGAATAATTTTCAATTTAAATCAATGAAACTATTGTGCAGAAAACAAATTTGTTTTTAAAAATATTGCCAGGATATATGACTGAATTGATTGCAATATAACCATTGATAAGGGCCATATAACCTGTACAAAATCTTTTACAACTAATAACATTACAAACAACTAAAACAAAAGTCAAGAGATTATCAAATTATCTTCTAAATGCATCAGAAATTGAATAAACAGTCATGGTATTAAAATTAATTATTCAAGAACAAGAATTAAACATGTAATATAAATGGCCCTTGTATGGAAATATTTATCCAAGATAAATGCAGTTTTTACAACTTTTAAACATTATCTTTTCATTCATCCACCCTAAAGATTGATACATACTCTGTAATTTAGACAACACCTTGACACCCCCTTCCTACACCCCACTCCCCCCCCCCCCGGACAATCAATTTGTGCTAAGGGTTCAATATAGAACCAAGTCAACCCTGAATTATGCCAAAAGCATGGATTACATACAATGAAATAAGGACACTTACATTTTGATAATTTCTAAAAATTACCGTACTTCTGTAAATGGAAAATGTTTCCTAAGACAGGACAGGATTTTTGGATTTGCACATTTAGTAAAATACACATAATTTTTAGTCTTATTTTCATATAAAGCACTGAAACACATAAAGAAAATACGACATAATAATTAAAGTCTTAACTAGATTTCAGGAGGTAAAAATGAAGCTCTATTAACATTGGAGTATGTGTCATTACTTCTTTTTTAGATATTTTTTTTTAATAATAAAGGAAAGCAACAATAACTTTGGGGTAAAAAAATGTCTTTTTTTTGTTATCTAAAAATAATGAAAAATGTGTCAATAATTTTTTTGCTCATGGGAAAAAAAGGGATCATTCATTATCTCTGAAACATTACACATTGTTAAACAATATTGTAGAAAATATTAAGGTACAACTTTTTTAAAATAATTTTGGTTACTGTTGTGAATTTATGTTTTAATGTTACATTTTTAGGTTATAATATAGTACATCCTGGACTTTCAGCATCTGTAATTTCTTGACATTTCCCTCCGTTCATGAGTCTCTCAATTTCTTTTATCACCTGAAATTATTTTACAAAAATAAATTAAACTTCCTCTTGTAAAAACTTGCTTAACTTCAAAAAGTATCATAGCATGAAGAAAAAAAGAAATCTTAAATGATTTTGAAAAGTTTGATTTTTTTTTATGCTAGACACTTTTCAGAAGATGCAATAACTTCAATTTTAATTTTTTAAATTTCAAAGTTATTTGTTTTTGTTTTTCTTCTTGTTTTTACTCATAACACTGTAATGACAACTTGCCAGCTCAGGTGCCACTCTGTTATTTCAGACACAAACAGGCAAACAAGCAATTAGAAAAATTGATGATCTGTAAACTAGCTAGATAGCTTCCTCTAGTGGGAATATCCTTATGTTTACTTTACATGTTGATAAATGTAAATATGTTCCGTATTCTTTGAAAAAAAAACACCAAAATATCATATTACCAAGTATTTCCCAGTATTACCCAGTTAATGGAATATTGCCCAGCCCAGGAAAACCCGGGTTTTCCCAAGCGGTAAATACTTTGCCAACCCTGTTATATGTTGAAGAAAAAAATAGACTTACATTTTCAGATTTTGGAAAGCCATGAAGTTTGAGCTTGGAGAATATAAGTTGACCATTCACTGTAACTTCAAAACATGCTGCAAATACAAAATAATAACACATACACTGAAAACTTCCTTGCACTGTAATAACAATTCTTAAATTCAAGTTTTTTCTGTTTTGTTTTCTTCTTCAAATTGTTAGAATTTTTGTAGCTTATTTCTTTTTGAAGACAGTATATATTGTTTGTTAAGATTAACACTTCTGTTGTTTTTTTAAATTTTTTATAATTATCAAACACCTGCATGGGTCCATTAAGTCATGTTGTCCTGAACATAAACTTCAATTCAGATGACAAAAAAAACAAGATCTTATACATGTATAATGTACTCAAAAATGTGTCACAGTATCTCTAAATCAATATACATGTAAATTGCAAGGAAGCACGGAACTTCTTTTCTGGAAGCGAGTTAATATTTTTGTTTTGTTTGAGTTTTATGTCACACCAGCACAGTATAGGTCATATGGTTGCTTTCCAGCTTTACGGGTAGAGAAAGACATCTTTATCAGGTGCCCCTCTGTATATTATTTCAGTCACAAACAGGCACCCGAGTAGAATCACCGATGTTTAATAAGCTAGCTTGATAGCTTTCTAATATATGTATAATCTTAGGATGCTTGTACAACTCAAACCTACAGCGGTGAAAGGCAAGTGTTTTGAAGTCGACGACTTTCACCTTACGGCCACAGACTCCCCTTAAAAGTTTGGTAACAAAACAATTTGACTAGTAAAATATACTTACATGATCTACCTACTTCTCCGGACACCTCGGTCTCAGGCAACGCTGTCAGAATGTCTTCCATAAGCTGCCGAAACCGAGGATAGTAACCTCACCCACCACTGAAACAAAATTAAAATCTTTATTTAACATGTAAATAGATATTATGTGATAACTGCTACAAGTATTATAGTTTTATTTACTTATTTACATTTTATGGTAGACCAATGAGATCAAAACACAAGGAAAACAGGGGAGCAAAACAACTGTATATAACTGTGACTGAACTGTGGTCAAAGTAGGACAAGAGTGTGAAACCAGTACATGTACATGCTTGTATACATATATGTTACGTAGTTTGATATATAAGGGAGACAACTACTTTGAATGATTTTATATTATGCTTTGCAGAGTGCAAAGCATTATATAAAATTAGAGCAGTTGTCTCCCTTATATATATATATTAAAATATATATATATCTATATATGTATCTTCCATTAATGTTAAACCCCTCACCAGGATATAGACATGTCTGTGTGTCAAAATCAAAAGAAAGTTCAAAAAGAGTTCTTTAAAAGAGGATAAAAGAAGAATATTTAAACATTATAACAATCTGGGCTATGTTATCTATGTCTGTTTAGTCTGTATTCTACTTCAATTAATTTATTGGTTGCAGTTATACTAGACAACATGAATTTATTTGGTTTAGACTTTCTGGGGCATACATATAGTTAGGCCGAAAATCAAAGACTTTTATGTATGCACAATTATGAAGGGTGCTGAGGTACAACATATTGGGCCACATTGTAGGACATAGCCTTAGTAGCAGGGGTTCCACTAGCCACTCCGGAATCCTGAGGGTCATTTTGAACAGTATGGACTAAGTTTAGCCAATTTATCAAAATTTGACCCTCCAGTTAAAATCCTGAGGGTCAAATCAGGCCTTCAGGAAATTTGAAGGGTCAAAGAGTCATTCAAGGGTCTAATGGACACCCTGCTTAGTAGGAATTAAACTTTTCCTTTATTCATAGTTGCTCCAATTGCGGATGTTCATGACAGTCATTCATGGAAGATCAGAGCACTTGAATGATACTTGAAAAATATCATAACTTATATATATAATAAATTAATTACAAAGACAATAAAAAACATTAACCCATTACTTCATGAGCATTTTGTGAAAAATGGCTGTTTTCAATGAAAAGTCTCCCGTTACAAGTTCAAATTGCTATAATACTATAAAAACTTGCGTGTATATAACGTAATGGGTTAAGCAAATGTTTTCTGTGGTACAGAAAAGCATGGTAATAACAATTAATTTTCCTTCTGTCAAGTGGTTGATATTTGTTTTATTAGACTGTTCACTGTTTATTATAGTGAAAAAATGTGTAAGTGACCGGATTGCTCAGTCAGTAGAGCTGTGAATGGTATTCTGGGAGTCTCGGGTTCAACTCCTGGTCAGGGGTAGACAGACGTTTCACTTGAAGACGTTTCACTCCCTTTTTATACCAAAATTTTTCTAAGACTTATGATATACTTAAAATAAATAGACCTTAAATTTAATAAAACTGAATTACGGAAGGGAATTTCACTTTTTGTTAATGACTATTAACTCAGTTTTTAAGTTTGTATATAATAATTGTTATCCCTGTTTATAATATTTATTATCGTACATGTGGAACAGGTAAGAATGCATTATTTTTGTTATCATAATTTTTTTTTAAATAGTAAATATATTATATTTCATAGACAAAATTCTGAAATTTTCATCCCAGTATTATGTATGTATATACAGGGCTCCAGATAATTTTTTAGGGCAATGAGTATTTACTCATTGATTTTTTTGTGAATGAGTAAAACTTGAAATCTGAAATTTGGCAGGAGTATTTTTACTCCTTACAATGTATGGAAAAGAGTAAAACATTTATTATGCTTCCATGTTTACTGCATTATCATAGTTGTAATACAAGATATGTCAGTCATTTCTTTTGCTTTTTGGACTCTCTTGGTTTATAATCTTGCATCAGACGCTTCCTTCTGCGATTCTTGACCAACCACTGTCTTGTGTCTGGTACAGGGTCATACTCTGAGACTGGCTCTCCATAAAGGCTAACCCTCAGCAGTGATTCAAGTGAAATCTCTTTGAGTGATGACCTGCCATGAGATAAACAACAACATATATACTTCAAGAACAATTTTCAAGAATGCATAAAATCATGTACATTTGCATTAAAAATAATTAGAATATTTACTTATAAACTTTTCTTAGTTTACTAACAAAATTATATACTAGAGTAGATCCTCCTGCATAAATTCAAAATATAAAGATAGATAGACTTTAATATAAATGTCCCACCTTAATTTACTCTTAAGTCTGTTTTGAGTGCTGAATGAGCGCTCACACTCTGTGCTTGAAATCTCCATGCATAAGGCTATTTTAGCTAACTTAGCCATGTTTGGATATGTCAGACTGTGCTTCACACATAATCTTTGGCACAGGTCACTGAGGGAAATGTTCCTATATGTGCCTTTTACCATCCCATAAACCCCTTTCCACTCCTTCTCAAGTTTTGTTTTGTCTAATAATGGCTCAACATGGGTGACAGTCTCTGTTGTCCCTGTAATATAGAATGCAATATGTTATTATTTAAATAAATCAGGAAGCAATATAGTGACATTATAATATATTTTGCAAGTCCTAGATATCAGATTCTTTAAAAATAAATTCATCAACTTTGTGTTTAATTTTTTTGGACAATGTTGTTTTGCAAGTAAACATGTTTATATCAATTAAGTTTTTATTGTTTTAAATAAGAAAAAGTTTACATCAGTTAAATGTCAATTTGAAATACCTATAATCAGATCTCCTTCCATTTGTTACACTGTTTTTTCAACTCCAAACTGATTTCCCAAACATTCTAGAGCACTTTTACTGGTATCAGCAGGAAGATGACATACTGTTGATGGTTCTAAGACTTGACTCAAGTATATTAAAGTGTCACTATCATTCTGTTTTAGTCTTCTTTTAATATTTTTGGCCAAGTTATCCAAATAATTATTTTTAACATTTGAAAACTGTGATTCTATATCTTTGCTATAATATTTAAGCTCATCTCCTTTATAAAAGGCCTTTTCATCTTTCACAACAATGCTGTTTTTCATCTCTACTAATCCATCACCCTCTTCTGATTTCATTGACTCAATCTTCTCCACAGTACTGTCTATTAGGGGAGGAACATCACTAAAAATAAGGTTCTTTGCCTGCAGTTCACAACATAGGACACCCAGGATGGTATGAACGTCCAACATGAAAGCTAAAAGTAATGCCGTTTTATATGAAGCAAAGTACTTGTATAAACCTTTAGCTGTAGAATTTTCATCGGCCATGCTAGACAATGTTGCAAGTATGGCTCCATATGATTCATAGACGGCTTCAACAGCATTTTTAAGACCCAGCCAACGAATGGAATATGGTTCTTTAACAGACAGCTTAGGCTCGTCTAACAACCCCTGCATTTGTTTTAAGGCAAATGTCCTATTTCCTGATGCAGATATGAAATGGTAAAGGTTTGCAAATTTTTCTTTCAGTTTCTTTAGTGGTTCAATTTGTTTAATAGAGTCAGTTACTGCCAAATTTAATCTGTGTGCTATACAATGAGTTTGTATTACAAATGGGGCAAATTTAGCTTGAACCTGTACCCCAACACCAGTTTTTTTACCCATCATGACACTTGCACCATCTGTTGCAAGTGAAACACATTTTGAAAAGTTAACATCACATTCCTTTAAATAATTACTTAAAGCTAAAGTTATAGTATGAGCTTTACCATCTGGTAATTCGCAGTTACCAAGAAAAGATGTATATGCACTACCATGGACTACATATCTCACACAAATTGAAAGTCTCTTGGAAACAGTGATATCAGTACTTTCATCTATTAAGATTGCAAAATAATCAGACTGATTGATCTTATCAACAAGTTTTTTCTTTAAACCAGCAGCAATTACATTTTGAATTTCTGTAATAGTAGTCCAGCTTAAATTTCTGTATGGCATATTTAATGAATTTAACCGTTGAAGTTCCAAAATTGCATCAAGTTTTTCAAATGGTAATTCATTTTTCATGAGAGAGTAAACCGATCTTATCAAAAAAATGTCTGAATCCAACAATTTACAGTTTTTTATCTCTTCTGAATCTTGATCTAATAGCGTAGGATCTTTTTTAGAACTTTCTAATTTCAATGACATTTTAGTAGCAGTCTGGTGGTCCGCAGATTCGCAGTGTCGCTCAACGGTTGATTTTTGAATATTGCTAGAACCAGTTGTAGTAAATGCATTTTTCATTTGAAATTTTATACATAATGAACATTTAAGCTTAACCTGTGACGGGTCTTCTGAATTTATGACAATCCACGGGAACAGGTCTTTCCAAACGGCGTACGTTTTATCTGAGGCTGACACATGTTTCTGTTGCTCATACGTGGCAGCGCTAATTATTTCATTGATTATAAACTTAACAATTACTTTCGGGTCGATTTTTTTCGGCTGAAAATACGAGTCAATCGTGTTTACTTTTGACAGCGACATTGTACCAGTGTTTTTATAAAATTGCGTTAATTCCACCACCTTACTATACATACGATAACAACCGATGATAGTCGGAACTACAGGAAGTAACCGTTAGACGTTGCAAGGCATTTATACGAAGTTAATTCCACCACCATACTATACTTACGAAAACAACCGATGATGGTCGGAACTACAGGAAGTTACCGGTAGACGCTTGCAAAGCGTTCAGACGAAATTAAAAATAAAATAATTAGAGTTTACTTTCGGTTACGTTTACGCGAAAGAAATGTTGTTCAGTGCGTAACCTGATTTTTATGTGCGTTTTCATACGCTTAAATTTTGTTTTGAATGCGTAAACGTGTTATTTCCATGCGTAATTTACGCGTATACGCATCTTATCTGGAGCCCTGTATATATGTACTGGTTTGGGAGATAAACTCGGCCGAAAATCAGTGTTTTGGGGGCATATTTCATTTATTTGTTTACGTATTCTGATGAATCTTGCACCATAATAAACTTCAGCTCTTCGATATTCCGGTATCACCATAAAAGTTATATTTAGAAACATAACGGGTAATTTTGAGAGGCCCTGGAAGAGGTACGTAAAAAGGATATTTTAAACGCGTGCGAGTAGATAATTCCGGCTCTTTGTTTTTCTTCTTAAATGAGTAAGTTAAAACGTAAAATAACATGTTTAGACATTTTATTATTTCTTTGCTGTTCTGTTCATTTATGTCAAATATAAAATATTTGTTACCAAAATTGTTGAGCATTACGTTAGTATAATAAATATCTATAACACGATATTTATATGCAACGTACTATGTAACATATAAATCATTTTCCGTAAAAACACACATGCATTATCATAAATAAACGTATAACAAAATATGTAGTTAAAGAAATAGTGATTCAAATTTATTTTTGCTTAGCTTAACAGAGTGAAGAAGAAATTT